TCTTAATATTGTACGTAGAATGCCTACAATCAACTCATTCAGGATATCCAATTTTCCATTTCAAATCTTACATTGGTTGCATTTTGCCAAGATAAGAGACTAAATTGATATGCCATGAACTCATGATGATGAAAGACCATATTAGCCATCACCCTAAATGATAATGGACAACAATTGCCCAGCGTGGGCAAATACATAAGAAGTTAGACGTCTGAGATATAAGAATGAATTTTTTAATTATTGAAGTCAAACAACTTAAGGAGTCGAGGGATTATTTTTAAGGATTAGCTACCTTATGGATGACTAACCTATTACGTATAGAAAAACTTACAAGCAAGGAGAATGAAAGCTTGAAGTGAAAACTTAATGAAAGGACTGATGAATTTATAGCTAATAAAATGATGAATGATGTCGTACGTAAGGAGATTGAGAAACTTCAGACTGCCAACATTTGAGATGGATAAAAAAAAATGGCATTTTGAAATATAATGTCAAGAAGTTAACAATTTGACACAACAAAGTTGAGGTATAGGAATGGCAATATGGACTCAAAGGTCCATAACTTGAAACATTATAACATACAACTCTATCGAAAGATTGAGGAATGAAGCTGCCTATTGGAGTGCACTATAGATGAAATGAATTATTATACCTAAGATAACGTATTGTCCAGTATAAGAGCTAAGTATGTGCAAAGAACCAAGAATTTCTGCATTATCATGGCTTTGGTGCAAATTATTTGGCATCATATGGATAATGAGGGAAATGATGAGAATGAAAATATTTTAAATGAAGAAGAACATAATAAGGAAGACCACGTAAAAGAACTTCCAATGTAAGAAGAATAGAAAGATGAGGAGCCTGCCTATGGAGGTTGAAATAGGCAATGGGATGCTCTTGAGGCTAATCAAGAGAAAGAGGAAAACTTTGGAGGTCAAGATATAATGGACCATTAGAGAGTTGATATTACAGTGTTAGAGTATGATCATACTTTCTTGAAATAAATTTTCATGACTGATTATTGAAATAAGTTTGGCATTACTCCCTAATGCTAGACATTATTATTAGTACAATTCGGATTTTTTTTTTTTGGATGGAATTTTTGGTTGTTATACTATAACAATTTGCTTGATGATTTGACTATTAATTTTGGTAAGTAGTTGGGCAATTTAATTTTCATATAATTTTTCATTGTGTATGAAAAAATTCCTAAGTTAAAACCTATACTTAAATTTGACTATTTACTCGTTTTAAGATATTTAGTCCTTGATGCAATTTAGTTAAGTTTTAAAAAGGTTGTCTTGGTTCTAGGGAATGGCACGGACTAAGAGCCATGGTTAGGATGGAAGTGATGCAAACATCAATGGAAATGACAGTGAAACACTAATCAAAATGTCAATGGCCAGGGTGATAATGCACAGCTAGTGATTGTACCACCCAAATTTCTTTCTGTGATAATCGCTATAGTTCTATCGAATGACACGGGCAGTTGCAAAACAGTACATGCAAATGCATAGAAATAAAGTGGTACCCATGCGTGCTACAAGACAATGAAAAAAGTGCAAATCCTTACTTTTGATGGTTTTATCAATCCTAATAAAGCTGAAATGGATGGATAAGGTGAAAAACAATTTTAACTTACTGCAATTTCTAGATGAAAATGAAACATTAAATAATCAAACCCCTTTTGTTGGAAACAGCGGGGAGCCACACTGTGTTGACGATGTGCAATTGCACCCCCTCAACTTAGCAAAATTGAAAGAATAGTCTTGAACTTTTATAAATTTTTATGTTTCTATTATAATTGCATTCGCTCAATTTTAGAAAATACCTTTTTTTTCTTTAAATTGTCCCCTTTATGTTATGAGAAATTCTCATTCCTTTTACATTAGCCGCTAAACGATCAATTTCTTTCAGATATCTCTTCTATAGTACAAATGTTTTGAAAGTATTAAAACACAAATTTGGTTACTATTTGAATAAAGAATAGCTTTGACACATTCAAAACACAGAAACTCAATACTAAAAATCTTATTTTTATCTAAAATTTCCTTGCACATTAACAACATTATTTTAGGTGTATAATGCTACCGCCACTGACTATAGGTCTTGGCTCCACCATTGGTTGGAAAGGGTTTAAAAAAAAAATACAGGTCAACCATTGCACTGTTGATGAATTGGAGAAGATTAAAAGAATGAATCTTCAACTACGTTTTTCCACCTGCCATTAACTTGGGAAGCTTTTTCCCTTCAACCATTGCAAATCAAGAGTTAAAAAGACACTGAAATATACTAGGTTACTTTAATGTAGGATGAATGCAAGGTTATCAAATGCAATTTTTTCACTTTACAATATAATAGTCAAGTCAAGTGCCATAGATGAGACAGATATTGAAAGACTAAAAGCTAAGGAAAGAGGCAAAAGGCCTTAACTTGAAGATAAGAGTGGTGCTCAAGGATGCCCGATGGATTTTTTAGGCTAGTGAAAAGAAAGTTTGGTGCCAGTCACAGCCGATACCACCATGTATAGAATAAAGGAAAAGCCATTGTTATAAAGGAAATTTGGCATAAGATGCGTTTGGGAGAATGCTGCTTGAAGTCTACTGCCTATTTTTCGGTGTTGCCAAATGGGATCACCACATAAAGTACTACACAAAACTGAGGAATGAATTTGTCAAGATCGTTGAAAATAAATCGAGCTAATGCAAGGATGCATACCATGATCAGGGGCGGAGCTAGAAAAAATTCTTAGTGGAGGCAAAAGCAACACTAAAATTTTTTACCTACTATTTTTCTAGTTTTTTAAGCAAAAAAAAAAAAAAAATTCACCAACAAGTACAAATGATGCATATATTCCATGAAAAACATAAAAAGACAAATTCAAAATTATTAATGTAATAATAATTTAATTTCAAAGACAAACTAAACTATTTACAATTACTCACTGCGAGTTTTTATATTTTGATAACTAATTTGGTTGTGGAAGTAAAAATGGCTCTCGGTTGTGGAGAGAAAATGGGGAACCAGTGGAGGGAAGGGAAATTGGAAAGTGGGGACAAAAGAAGTGAATGATATGATTAGATGAATTGATCAAGAGAAAGAGTAGCTAGCTGCTTAGTTATGGAAGGTAGTGGCTCTCGGTTGTGGGGGAAAAATGGGGGGCTAGAGGAGGGAAGGGAAATTGAGGAGTGGAGCCCAAAGAAAGTAAATGATATGATTGGTACTTGCTAGTTAAAATGAAAAAGTTTTTTTAAACTTATTTCAAATGGAATCTGTGCCTCACGTATCTTTTTAGAATTTTAGTTTATAAACTAACTTAAAAAATTACGTAATTCTTTCACATCCTTTCTAAAAAAACTCTGGAGGCCCACTTAAAATTATTTTAAAATTGTATAAGTATTATAGAATTTTTTAAGGGGGCAATGGGGCCCGTGCCACCAGTGCCCCCACCTAAAATCCGCCCCTGAACATGATTGACTTTAAAATTAAGGGATCTTAATTACACGTCTAGTAAACTCCACCCCTTCTAATGTGCTCCTTTATGGTGGTGCCGTGTATTCTTTTGTGACTACAAGCTTTGTTAAGACTTCAAATGCATAACCTAAATGACTACATAATCCATGTGTTTGCCCCTAATGGTATCCTTGTGTCCCATTTGAGATGTAATGATTGTTTTAGTTGAACAAAAGAACAATGAAAGTTAACGTGGTTTGCATATGATTGAGTGATCCAGATGTCATTTTTGGAATGAATTGGTTAGCTTAAAAACATGTATAGCTTGACTATAGAATAAAACCAAAAAAAAAAAAAATTCATCAACCCTAATGAGGACGAATTCTCATTCCAAGGAAATCTGTCAAGTAAGAATAAAAGGCGTGGACGCTTGGTGATAAGTTCTTCACAAGCCTTTAGGAACATTAAGAAAGGATGCAGAATATTACCTAGATCATATTATTTACAAGAAGGAGTCCAGTACATAATCGTAGTCAAGGAATTTCCCAATGCTTTTCCTAAAGAAGTACTTGGATTCTGCTGTGATTTCTAATGCCAATTTTGTTCCTTCTTCGTGTTTTGGCCGGAATTATATTATTACACCAATTTTTATGCCTTCATAATGTATAACATTAAGAGTAGTGATTTCTAACATGATATTGGTGAAACTCAATTGAAAACAAAAGCTTCAAATTGGTTTGTCATGAAAACTAAGGACAACATTAGTTAAATCCTTAAAGATTAGGTACCAAATTGATCATAATTTTAACGATAGTGACATGCTGCTGCTCCAAATCCCTTCACTTTTTTTTTTTTTTTTTTTTTGTCAAAGCTCCAGTGTTGGTAAATATTTATGGAGATAAAGGATCGAATTAGTAGATGGTAATAGATGAGAAACTAAAACGATAATTTTTCCACCTACGTACAAAGAACCTATAGAACGCAACTAACCAAGAATTAGAGCGAGACAAACGATAGAAGTCATGTTTGCACGTTAAATTTGCGAAGGGAACATGAAAAATTCGCGGGTTTGGTCCCTTGTGTTTGGCATCAAACGCAGTATGGTCCCTTAACAAAATATCCAAAACAATTTAGTTCCAATTACAGAAGAGTGGATTGATGTAGGACAAGTAACCCCTTTTGATCAGAAACCAACAAAAATTTTGCTTTTGAATGAATATACTTTTCCCTTACTAATTTGTATGCATGCCTCGATGAGCCGAAAGCAAACATTCATAAATGATATTATCGATAACTTTTATTTAAAATCCTTAGAGAACTTCCTCGATCGAAAATATATCTTAATTCTTGAAAACTTATGCTAACTTACATTTGTCATTTTAGCGTGTACTTCATTAAGTGCAATTATCATCAATTTATGGGCTAAGACTGTAAAGTCCCTTGACATTTTGTGCCAAGGAGGGAATATGGAAAAAGTAAGGCCCCAAACTGCAGTTCTCTCCTCATCTGTCCCTTTGTCAACTACTTCACATCAGTTTCCACCCTCCACCGAATCCTTTATCTTAACCGTTACTTGATTTTCTTCTCTTCCCATTCTCCCTGTAGACTTTTTCAGATTCAGTACAGTACAACAGCCAAGGACAAAAGATTGGATATTGCTTCATAAATCAATGGAAGCAACTGTCATCCCAGGCACAACCACAATCTGTGATGATCTAAATCAAGAATGTCCCAAGCTGCTGTCTCCTACAGGTTACCATCAATTGTTTCTTTGAGACACTTGTTTAATTTATGATGCATTGCCAATTTTTTTTTATTTTTTAGCCCTGTTTAATATTTTTGTTCAATGGTATCCCTTCTTTTCTGATTTAATTTGTTGGGCTTAAATTGCTTTTGTTGTTATGTTTCTTGGGTATTTCCTGGAGTTGCTTTGTTGAATTTAGTGCTGCTTAGGTGATGGTGAATCTTCGCAAAAATTTCTTTTATATCTGAGTATAGATAGTTGTTTGCGAAGAAGCAATGAATGGCAAACGGGCATATTCTTTGGGATAAAATTAACTAGAAAATCACAAGTAATCAAAAAGAAAAGGAAAAATGGAAAGAAGCCAAATTTTGTTCAAAATAAAGTTTTTGATAGAAGCCTTGAAAATCTGTTACTGGATCTATTCATATACTGTAAGTTTCTAATTTCAAGTATATTTAAGAATTTTACGCTATAAACCTAGAAATAAAGGGTGGAACTGCCTTGTTCCTCGTTAGTCCGCCAGAACCCCACCCCGCCTTGTTGGATGCTTCTACTGAAAGTTTTCTGCAGTTTTCATCCAACCAATTGACGATTGTCATAATCCTTATTGAAGTCAGTTTAGTTTCAAGTTAGTTTTGTTGAGAACATAAGTGACCATATCCTTTTCTTCTGATAACTTTTAGCTTTTTATAGCTAATTGTATTAGTATATTTTACATTCAACTTTTGAAGAAAAACCGTAAGGGATGTAGCTGTCAAAAGGTTGTTTGATTTGTGCTTCTGATGCTTTTTTCAAAACTGATATTTTTGAGCGGTTGACAACTTAAAGCTTCAAATATGCCAGTTTCTCCCTTCATATTGTTTATCAAATTCTGATAAATGTGTTATAGCATTTTTTTTCTCCTTTCCTTGATGTTAGTTGGAAGTTCAGTTTTTTCTTGATGTTAGGTTTTTACCTTTGTTTTGTTTTATGTGACAAAAGTAAAGACCTATTACCTCTAGCTTTCTTATTAAGAACAACATAGCCGCGTTATAATAAAGAATAATTAAATTGCATGTGAGAGTCTAATTAATAGGTTGCTTCATACATTTATCCCATCTCAACTCTTGATTATGCTGTGTTATTGTAGCTAGCTTGGCAGTATCAGGATTATATGTGCAGTTGCTCCTCCCTTGAACTCGAAACATTTATTTCCTGCTATTTTCCACTCAACATGCAGTTTTAGCTATATCATTTCATTAGGGCAACCTACGTGAACTTTCTTTCTAATTAACACCACTGGTACTTCTCGCAATGAGTAAAAGATATAGGAAAATCAAAACTAAGGTTAATGAAAATTATCATTTTAAAAAACTAACACACTTCTGTATTTGTATTATGCTCCAATTGCTTCAACTTATCCTTAGTCAATGACTTCCTCTGACTCACAAACCCCATTGATGAAGAGCTGAGAAATATTCTGCTTAAACAGAATCAGTTGGCCAAGGTCAACCTTGACATCCCTGACCTCTTATTTTTTCTTTCCACTCTTGAAAAAGGTTTTCCTTAGCAGTAGGAGTCCATTTGGCAACATTGGTGACACAAAGTACAAGATTGGTCTGATTCTGGAATATGATGATACTGAAGTCCCACAATCATCATAACTTCTGCAGGACTTGTCCGAACTTATATTTTCCTTTGTAGATACTAGGACCAGACAATTGAAAGGTGTTTTAAGCATTATGACAATTGTTCTCACAGTTGTGTATAACAAGTGTTACTTTCTTTTCCAAATTTAATTGCTTGCAGCTGTTTACGAGTAAGTTGTTAGGCAGTTGGACATCTGTGTTGCCCTGTCTGATCTTCTACATAGTTTGACTGCTGATATCCAGCTCTGCACTAGCTTGTTGTCAAGAAACATATGTTTTACTTTGCTGAGGAATTGAGGGTTCTGTATTATATTAATTATTCAATTTTAGGTTGGAGTAAGAATCCTGAATCAATATGTGTGGATTATGAAAAGAAGTGGATTTAAAAATCCTTAAATTCTAATTTCCAGTTGTTATATATTCTGCTTCTAGAAATGAGGCAATTTCTAGAAGTGTTCCAATTCTGTTTAAAACAACATTAGTTTTAGATTAAAATTTTGGTGTATCAACCCAAATCCTAGATATGTATAGCAATGTTTGGCATTAATAATCACTTCAAACATGATTCTTTATAAATGATGTGACCTTTCTACATCAAAATTGATATCTTCAATCCAGAAAGTGCCTAACACCAGCAATTTTTGGTTCTTTTGGGTAATTTTTCTTCCTATTTTATAGGAACTGAAAGATGATGAAGATATTAATAGTTATTTCCACATTCAGTCGGTTCTTTTTTGATTTTTCTTCTTTTAGGGAATCAAATGTTGTCTAATCAAAAGTTGTCTAAGATTCAAGTGTTGTCCATTACCTAAAGTCACTATCGGTTGATTTCAACTCGACAATTTTCAATTTGCCAGTAAGTTTGCACCTCTATCTGCTGATATCTATTGGCACCTTTAACACTCAGTAGAATTTTTGGTGGCTGCGTGTGTAGTATGTATGCTAGTATCTTGGCACAGTCTGTGTCTTTATTCTGAGATAGAAGTTCTCTTAAATATTTAACAAGTACAAAAGTAGTTATTTGAATGATCTAAAGCCAACTTAAAAAAGCACCTATTTTGTCCTGGTAGTTATAAGTATATATGTTGTATCAAAGGGTATTGGTGGAATATCAAGAGAGACCAGATTTCATTTGTAGTAGGACTAACCTTGCATATGATTCTTGCAGAATAATTTGTTTATCTCTTCTTTCAATGCTTTGCAGCTGTGGATCTTGTGGATACCCTCCGAATCTAACATCTTCTACACGTGCAATTTCTGGCATAGGACCCGAATACAAAAAATCCATTGCAAAAGGTTTTATCTCATTTATCTCCATTGACCTCAGTCGATTTACTCGAGTTGATGAAGTAACGTGCCTTCCAATATCTTTGGGCTGTTACCCTTCAAAAACAAAACTTCTTTGTCGTAAATGTGGTGTGCTTATAGGTCACATACAAGGAGATTCACACACTCCATGCATTTTTGACTCAATGACCTCCTCTAGCTCATGCAAAAACATTATGATAAGGATTCAAGCTTTGCAACCTTCAGAAGAGTGCTAGTGCTTTCAAATGGAGAATTGTTACGAAGATTGTCTGACCTCTATTATGCAACTTCCTGATGATTGCTTGTATTTTATTTTTCACTGGCTTGACTCTGCCTCTGATCGGGAATCTTTTGGATTAACTTGTCATCGATGGCTTCAGATTCAAAACTCAAGTCGTCGAAGATTACAGTTCCAATGCTCATTCACTAAACTTGATATTCCCTCCATATCTCAAAGTAGCATGAAAATTGATGCCTTTTATCTACATAGGTTGCTTAACCGCTTCCAGAAGCTGCACTATTTGTCTCTATCTGGTTGCATTGAGATGCCTGATTTTGGTTTGAGACAGTTGCTAAATTATGGGTCCCAGCTTCAGACTCTTCATTTACACTGTTGTTTTGGAATAACTGATCATGGAATTTCCTTGGTTGCCTCTGGATGTCCTTCTTTGACAACTATTAGTCTTTATCGCTGCAATGTTACTGATATTGGGTTAAAGACCTTATCTGAATCTTGCTTGGCCTTAAAAGATGTGGATCTGTCATATTGTTCACTTATATCTGACCAGGGTATAAGAGCCCTTGCCAAGAATTGCCGTCACCTTCGTGCTGTCTGTATGACTAACTGTAGAAGTGTCACTGGTGTTGGCTTTATGGGCTGTTCACAGAGTTTGACTTTTCTAGAGGCCAATGGTTGTAAGCTAGAGCCAGGAGGAATCATGGCTATTGTGAGTGGCGGTGGACTTGAATATTTGAATCTTTCATGCCTGTGGTGGTGCATTGGTAGAGATGGTTTGACAGCAATTGGTGCTGGATTTGCAACTAAGCTGAAGGTACTTGATTTTCGATCTTGCAGAACTATTGGCGACAATTCTATCATTGCAATTGCAAAGGGATGCCCTTTGCTCCAAGAATGGAACCTGGCATTATGTCATGAGATCACGAGAGCTGGTTGGGAAGCAATTGGTGTAAATTGTCATCACTTGGAGAAGCTTCATGTCAATCGTTGTCGTAATTTATGTGATGAAGGATTGCAGGCCTTGAGGTATGGCTGCAAAAAACTCTCTGTTCTTTATATGAGTATCAGTAAATCCTGCAATATCAGTTCCACAGCGCTGGAGATTTTCAGATGTTCAAGAGGTAATGTCAAAATCCTAGAAGAAGAAGTAATGTCTATTGCTCCTGACTCTGCCTTCCATATATGTTAAGCGCAGATGAACCCTTTGGTTTGGTGAATTCGAAAAGACACATTGTAAAATTGAAGTGTTTAGAAGCACAAGTGTTTTGTAAAATTTATACAAAACTTTTGGTAGCTTGCATGTCACTCTCAGAAGTAACAGCTAATAATGCTTACGAGTCACAACCTAAAACCTTCTTCAAGATGGAGTTACCAGTACACAAACCAACATATGACAATTTTTGCCTCTATCATATTAACAGGATGAAGGGAAAAGGTTGGTTACTGAATTTAATCTATAAGCGTTAGGCAAAAAAGCGTTAAGCAAATAGACCTATGAGAATATGGCTGACTCGTCCATGCTTATGTTCTCAAGAGTAGGACTGTTCTTGAAAACTGATTTTAACTAAGCCAGCAAAGTCTAATGGCTTTGCTAAGTTGAACGGAAGTTTTACCTACACGATCATTGTTTATACGTGCAAGATTGGCATTGCCGTGTCTACACATTGCGGCTCTAGATTGAGATCCAATAGCTTTCTGCCAATTGTATGTAACAATAAGACAATATCACTATTTTTCCCTCAACTTTCAAAATATCACGTATCTTTCCTATCAGTCATTTGAGGCCCATTATTGACATAAATAATGGTAAAATGACTCTTATACCCTGATTTTGATTGATATATATATATATATATATATATATATGTGTGTGTGTGTGTGTGTGTGTGTGTGTGTGTGTGTGTGTGTGTGTGTTGGATTAATTACAGATTGCACCGATATAATTATGGGTCAATAGCAATTTTCTCCATGTTTTCACGAAATAAAAAAATTGCCTCATGATGACTAACACCATTAACTTTCTAATGATTCTCAACTTATTTGTTGAATAAATATGCCCACATTGTTATATGTTTTTCTTTTAAATTTCACTTTGTATGTGTTTTTTCTTGTATGTTTAATTTTCGTACATTTTTTTTTCTTTCTTTTTCATCCTTTTTCTTCTTCCTTCTTTGACGTTGTCAATGCCTTTTATTTTACATTCATATGTATATATTCAAATAAACTTTTCATTTGAATTAGTATTTTCTCTCATTTATAATGCTGTTTATGCCATTTCAACATTTTGTAACAATTAATTTATCATTGTTGTAGTTATTGTTCAAAATAAACCACTAATTTCTAGGTGAATCATTAATTGTTAATAAAATGTAATGTATGCTAATACTTGGGAATCACTAAAAAATAAAAAAAAAATTGGCAAAACATTTATACTAAATGTATATATTTTTAATTTTTATATGATTTATAATAATTATATATTTGCCTTGAAAAAATAAGATATACATTTAAGCATGAAGAAAAATGTTAATAAGGATGAACAAGATAAGAGACAATAATAAACAGAATTGAAGGTGCGGCATTGTTATCGATCATTTAACTTTTGTTCGTTATTGACATTTACCGTGTAATATGAGGTTGTTAATAAAAAAAAAAAAAAAGAATTACACAAGATTTCTAAATACTTTTTTCATTTACAACGTTTCATTACATTGATTAAAATGTTTCATAAGAATTAAAGAAAAAGTATGTATTTCAGCATGAAAGAAATTCTTAATATGGGCATGAAAGCATATTGTATAATTGCTATGGACGTGTAGCTACAAGGCATAATTTGAATTAAAGCGAAAAATAATTTGTAAACAAACTGATGTTAAGGATAGCAAAAGGATATATGGGGATAGATTATCTTATCTCTCGTGAAATTAATTTTTTAATCTCACTTGAGCTAACATGTTACGAAAACATATAAATCAGGAGAGGTATGGGATATTTCTAAAACTTCAAGAAAGGCTAGCGTTCCTGACAAAAACGTTAGTTGAGGTTTCTAAAAGTATCCATCGTCGGGCAGGCTCCCTTGTGGAGGTTGATATCCCACATCGGGGTGTAGAGGGGTTGGGGTAGTGTAGATAAGTCCCCTGTGAGACCTTCAAGAGTTGCCGGCTTTTGAGGGTTCTCACGGGAATTGGGTTTGTCGAAATTATCAAAAGTCCTTTGGACTTGGAAAAAAGGTTTCTAAAAGTATCCCTAACAATGATATATATGCTAGGCACCCGTTTCCCTCTTTGTTCTCAACTCTTTACATGTCCTTGGCTTCATACTGCTTTTGAAAACATAATAATGCTTTCGCCTTCTTATCCTGGGGATTCTAATCTTCCATATAGATGGTTGTGGTGCCTAACTGCCTAGCCATACTATAATAATATTAGGTCTTGGTGGAAATTCGTTAGATAGGAAATATGATAAGAACTCTTGGTCAAGCCAAAAAGATTGCCAATCAATCGTGATCAATTACTTAATTGGTGAAATAGTTCTCTTCCTTGAAAAGCATGCTTTTCTGTTACTTGTGAACAAGCATAATTGCATTACCTGACTAAATATGTTAATGGGTTAGATTTTACTTATATTCAACCCAAACCCAATATATTTGGATAGGGTTTGGATTTAATTTCTCAAATTCAGACCCTATCTAGATCTAGACCTTATAAGAGAATTATGGATCTAGATAAGGTCCAGTTTTTTATGATCTATATTTAAATCTAAACCCATATCAAACTCATGTATATATAATTAAATAAATTTAGAAAATAATCTAAAGATTTTATGGCCATTGGATTGAATATGGTAAGACTTCATGATTTTTTTTTTAACTAATCCTAGCTGTCATTCTAATTGGTACGAACATTTTCAGGGAAAGGAGAAAAAGTAAAGACAAACAAATAAAAGATTGGATATGAATACAGTTAAATCTTTGAAAAATAAATAGTAGTAGTCGACAATAGTTCTTTTTTTTTTTTTTTTGAATTCATAATATTGCATTCAACTTCTTGAATAAAAATTGGATGGCATCTATATTATTTTTTAACACTATATATTTTTAACATATTTTTAGTTTAGTATATTCAAAAAAAATACCCATTAAATACCCAGACCCACGAGAGTCTGAATCTACATTTGGGTCTAACTATTTATAGATCTAGATTAAAAAAATCCAACCCAAACCCTATCCATTCACATGTCTAACCGTGACAAACTATTAGACATGCATATGTTAGAGCAATCGTGACCAAGTACTCAGTTGGTAAAAATACTTTTCTTCCTTGAAAAGCATGTTTTTCTATTACTAATGAACAAAGAAAAAGTTGCAATCGCACATCCACAAGATACTGCAAAATGGTTAATATGTGAAAACGCATTTACCGAACAGGGATTTCTTGCATTTTTTGAAGAATAAAATCCATTTGCTTCGAGAGAAAAAAAAAAAAAAGATATGAATGGCCTTTTTCAACCATCTGCTTTACTTATGAAACGTAAATTGAAAAATGGAACCTGTGCTGTCGAAGGATTTTTTGCAATCATTTTGACTAAACCAGAATAAAGCAAAACAACCAGCTTCAAAGCTTACCTTACTAATAGCAAAGCGACCAGCTTCTGCCAATGCCAATTGAGAATAGATTTGCTAAATATGATCCAAACAGGTATAGAAGGAAATACGCATCATACAAAAGAATTTGGTACTGTTACTCCATGCAAATGAATTATGCATGATCAACCAACCTCCAGAGTATGGCATTTAACTTGTGTAACATAATCAATATCTGTACAGAGCCCTGAGGGATCACAGCCACGGTCTGAAGGTTGAATTAAACCGGAAAAGACACTGACAAACAGTAGGTCTCAAAGAGCTCAAGACATGTCATATATTACAATTTTCACACTACATTATTGGTTACAGTATTTGTTCATCCCCCTGTTCATTTTGGGATTGTTCCTCCAGAAACCAGCACAACCAGTATTCATTATATGGATCTGTTTGTGTGTGCTGCAACAGAGGGAGACAACAGAGAGACAGGTACAGGTAGATCACCAGCAAAAAAATTCTCCACTAAGAGGTTTTGTGCTATCCCAGACACACAATTGCAGCATCACAATGTCAATCTTCTGGATTCGTAAACATTTAACAGCCAACTCCCATCGGTACCATTGATTAAGCATTCCATCAAATTAATTGTTTGTGTTATCTCCCCATAGATTATCCCAGCCACCACTTGGAGGAGCCTTGGGTCCCTCAATATAGTTTTGGTTCCCATGGGGATTATGTGGACCTTGAAGCCCACGAGGACCAGGGGGTTGACCTTTTTTTGGCTTTGTTCGAATTCCCAATATTCTTAGAACAAATCTAGCAAGCTCCCCATATAATAACCCAGAGCGATCAAACAGCTGCAAATAAAAATAACAAGTCACTAATTAAGATTGCAACCCCAATTATTCAATCTCCAAAAACAAAAACTACCTTTAGTTAGAGACAAAAATGAGATACAAGATCACCAAATTACCTGAAGAAGAGCCGTCACAAACATGTGAAATGCCTGTGTATTTTGGTCAATTAATATTGCAACTCGTCCAAAGAAAGTTACGACGCCTTGCATCTGCAACAGTTGCAAAGAGTTAGTTATAACCTTCTTCCAAAAGTAGCAATTACATAGTAGTAAAAGGATAACAGAAATTATAACGCTTACTTCAGGACATACACAAATCAAGATGCGTTTAAAATGAATGGACAAGCTTAAAATGGCAACTGCATGAGGTAAAATCTTAATTCACACATAAAAGAGCTTGTTAATCTTTGTTGTTTGTTTTCCTGCACAGTCAAACCTGGGAACTGCGCAGTCTTTCAATCAATAATTCGACATATACCAGTTAGTTAATTAGCAAAAGTTTGCCTTGGTATGGTCAGAAACAATGCCCAGTAAGGATGCACACTTTAGTCCCCTCCCAAAGTGAAATAGCTTAATACTCCATTTCATGCAGCAGGTACTAGATGAAGAAAAACTAATTCATTTGATCCTACATCATTTCTGTAAGCGTCTGACAAAGAACCAAAGATCTATTTTGAAAAAGAAAGTCACAAGCTTCCAGGATCTGATGGTTTTACTGAAAGACAAAAAGGCAGAAAGCCTTGGAAGAACTCAATATCTGGTGCACAATTGTGATCTTCTTTAGCATGAGAGAGAGAGAGAGATCTTAGCTTACCACCCTCATTAAGGAAACCCAAAAGCTTGGTGGAGAAGGAGGAGCACCAAAGG